TCTTTTGCTCCCTGGCTCCAAACTCTCCTATGGCTCCCCAACACCCTCAGAACAAAACCCACTCAATTTATCAGGGACCATGAGGCTCTGCTCTGCTCAGCTCCTATGGCCCCCTCCACCAAGGTCTCGCACCACCTATACTTTCTTCTCACTTACTCCATTCTGCTTCCCCCCTCCAGCCTCCCCAGTCTTCCTCCAACATATCCAGCTGGTCCTTACCTCAGGGCCTTTGCACATGCTGTGCCCTCTGCCTAGAGCACCCTTTTGAATTATCATGCCTATTTCACCCCTCAGAAAAAGTGCAAGGAGTTCATGAAAGGTCATGAACACATAGCAAGGCCTAGGAACACATAGCAAGCTATTGGGATCTGGGATTTGAACCCAGGTTCATCTGACTAACCCCCTCACAATGCCCCTCCCAGCAATGATTCACATTACCAACCAGTTTACCCTGGAGCTGGCAGAATCTTTGTCCCTCCAGATCCTGCTGTCTCTGGCTGGGTGTCAAAGACCCTCAGGCTTTCATTACAAGCCTCCTGTTCAGGGAGCTTCCAAGGCCACCTGACCCCCAGGTCCCACAGAGTCCTGAGTGGCCGCAATTTCTCCGCCCCACTTTCTGCCCTTCATGCAGGCTGATGTTGGAGCCTTCAAGGACGATGCAGCCAAAAATAAATGGGCCCCGACCTACCTCCAGAAAATGGGGCAGCCCCGCCCAGCCACCCGGCACCCACGAGGTAATTAGTGCATGTAGCAAATTAGAGTAATTAGGTCTGTGGAAACTGATCTTCAGATCCAGGTTTGTTGCTCAGAGGGGTCTTGAATGTTGCCTCCTCCCACCCCCAACCCACCCTAGTCCTGAACCCTCAAGTTTATGACCCAATGCCAGAGCCTTCTTTATAGGGCTGAGGGAGCCTGACTCCCGTGCTTCCTTGGAGCTTTTTGTTGAATGAAATGATTTTTCTTCCTTGGGCAGAAATCAAGTTCTGAATTTAAGGCACGGTCTCCCTCAAGTGATGCAAAATAACCAATATTATGGCATCTTCAAGCATGTTCCCGTCACCTGACTCCCATGTGCCCACCTTGTGCTGAGAGACAACAAACTCTAGGGAAGCCTCACCACTGGTTTCCACCCTTGGTACACTGAGGCTCAGGCTCAGGGGGTCAGAGCTGGACACAGACACTCCCAGCCCTGTGGGGTCAAGGCTTGGCCACAGCAGGAAGGTCTAGAGGAGAGTCTAGAGAAGAAGAGGAGGGACGGCTTTTTGGAGGTGGGGCTTTGAGGGATGAATAGGAGTTTTCTTTCTTTCTTTTTTTTTTTTTTGAATAGGAGTTTTCAAGGAGGATAGTTTTACACTAGCTATGCATGCCTGGGAGAATGGGGAAAAGGAAGAAAGAGGTGGATGGAGAAGGCATATGAGGAGCTAGGAGCTAAAGATTTAGAGGATATTATGTGAGGTTAGACCAATTTCTATTCTCAAGAACTTATGTCTGGTTGGGGTCCTTCAACTCCTAAAAAAGAAAACTAAGAAGTTGGCTCAGGATCCAAAGCACATAACAAGAATAAATATGTTTCTAACAGAAAGCATTTATTAAGCACCTACAGTCATGCTCTCTTCACATAAGAACTCACTGGATCTGAACAGTAAATCTCAGAAGTGGGCACCATTCATATGTCCATTTTATGGATAGGGAAACAGAGAAGGGAAGTGACTTCTTCAGGGCTGCACTGCTAATAAGAGGCAGGGCTGGGATTTGCTCTCTGGCTCATGTGAGTCCAGAGGCCACCAAGGGCTAAAGCTGTAACCTGGGGAGAGGGGGAGTCCCATAGTTCTGAAAGTGCTCATGGAGATCTGTCACAGGCCAGGTGCTGGGACAGAGCCATGTAACAGGTGAACGCCAACTGAATCCTGCCATAAACAGATCATCAAAACTGGCACTGGGAGGTTGGGCACCCAGCTTTGGGGACGAGTAACTGGATGGCCCCTGCTCTGGTGGAATGGGAACCCTCTGGAGAAGAGAGACAGGTTAGCTTAAGCCCAAAAGTTCATTCAAATTTAACTAGGCAGAGACCAGAGCCTGACCCCTAAGAGCCATTCTGCAAATGCAGCTTCCTTAGTGCTGAATGAACTATCCTGGCCCTTGCTTGGTCTCTCCTGTGTCAGGAAACTCATTCCTTATACCATTCCTCAGACTCAAAGGAAAATTGTCACCCCTAGTCTGCAACCTTGGGGTGGTAGCCTCTGCCTGCCCTGCAAGAACATTCCCAGTTCCTTGGAAGAAAGGCCTCAAGGCCCAGGCAGAAGAGGGCTCTGGCTGGGGAGGGAACGGCAGCTCAGGGCAGCCCTCTACCTGTCAATACCCAGAAGACAAAGCGGCTGTTGATGTTACTTCCCTATCCCTTTCTGTCCCTCTAGGTCTGCAAGCATCAGCCCATTCTCCAGGTGAGAAAGCTTAGGTCTACACTGAGGAAGCCAATTCCTCAGCCTGGACTTTGCTGAGATGCCTTCAGGTCGGGGCTGCTCAAGGCCAGCCCTGTCCCCAGCACCTCTCAGAAGCCTGAGAGGGGGCGCAGGGAAGCAATTCAGCTTTTTGTTCTCTTACACTGTTGCTTTCTGCCCACACAAAGAGCAAAGTCTGCCTGGAGTCCTCACCCAGATACTTCCATAGAATAACCACAAGGACCCAGTTCTGCAATAGGCCAGGCTCTCAGCAAACTCTTAGCGGCTTCCAGAAGCCTTGGTCCTGCCAGCAGTTTTCCTAGATACTTTTTTAAAAAATTATTTTGTTGGTAATAAGGAAAAGTCACTCTTTGCACAGAACAGACGGTATTGTCTTTGTTCCCCACAGTGTTCAAGTATTTTGTGGCTTCAGGCCTGAGAGTGAAGCCAAATCCTTCCCTTGTGCAGACACCTCATGAAGTTAAAAGCAGCTGGGGAAATCTAGTCTGTGTCTCAGTTTCCCTAGCTGGGATGGACAGTCACTCTCATGCTGGGTTAGACTGAGGCTCTAGGATGGATGGGCCAGCTATAGAGGAGCATCCTGACCTGTTCATGTAACAAATATGTAACATTGAGTCACAGGAAGGGACTGGGACACGGGGCAGGGGAGGGCAACACCTCTTGCAAGTCTGGGATAGTCAGAGAGGCTTCCCAAAGGAGGTGAGGGGGTAGTGGGGCTGGGTCTGGAAGGACAAGACAGGATAGATGCCAGCAGAGAGGGCATTCCAGGTAGAAGGAACAGATTGGACAGGCCTGGAGGGAAGAAAACTCAGATCTTGACCTGGAAGTCTCCAGAGACAACCTGATTTGGAATTCACCTAAAGGTAATTTGAAGGTACCTATCTGCACAAATGTGTGATTTTTGTTAGGCAGAAACAGCAATCAAACAAGAGGAGGCTGGGCTAACACTTGTAATCCTAGCACTCTGGGAGGCTGAGGCAGGAGGATCACTTGAGTTCAGGAATTTGAGACCAGTGTGAGCAAGAGTGAGGCCCTGTCAATACAAAAAATAAAAAATATTGCTGGGTATGGTGGCTGGTGCCTGTAGTCCCAGCTACTTGAGAAGCTGAAGCAGGAGGATCGCTTGAGCCCAGGAGTTTGAGGTTGCAGTGAGCTATGATGATGACACTCCGCTCTAGCCCAGGTGACAGAATGAAAGCCTATCTCAAAAAAAAAACAAAACAGGGAAAGGAGACATGAGTGGAGATCTCAGAGAAGAAAAGGAAAAACCTTTGAAGTTATTAGAAAATGCAACCATGGCCGGTCACGGTGGCTCATGCCTGTAATCCCAGCACTCTGGGAGGTCAAAGTAGGTGGATTGCCTGAGCTCACAGGTTTGAGACCAGAGTGAGACCTGAGCCAGAGTGAGACCTCATCTCTAAAAATAGCTGGGCATTGTGGTAGGTGTCTGTAGCCCTAGCTACCTGGGAGGCTGAGGTAAGGGATTTGCTTGAGTCCAAAAGTTTAAGGTTGCTGTGAGCTGTGATGCCACCGTACCCTACAGAGGGCTACAAGTAAGACTCTGTCTCAATAAATAAATAAATAAATGCACCCATGAGTCTGAGAGCTTCTGAGTTCCAAGGGCCCACAGGGCCTCTGCCCATGAACCCAATGGCACTGTGTGATTTTGGAGAAGATGCCAGAGACATAAAAGTAAAAGGATTGACGAATGGGACCCTCAGGTGGGCTTGGGCCTAGGGAGGTAGATCCCAATGAAGGATCCTCGCCTGGCAAGTATGGAAAGGGAGGGCTCCTTATGACTACAGGTGACAAACGTAGGCCAGTGGAGCTTGAGGAGACACACCCATTTATTGGGAACTGGACACCAATATTCCTTCAGCCATTCAATTCTGGGACCCCCCAAACAACAGTAATAATAACCTTAATCCAACTGTCATTGACATGTTTACCATTTTCTTGGGAGGGGACAGAGGTGAACAGACATCCCTACCCCAGGATCAGGGCTGGGCAAAAGGACAGGAAGGCTTCCAGTTCCCTTGGGTGTCTTTCATTTCCTGGCAACACTCATTGAACACCGCCTGTACCCAGATTCTGAGACTCCCTAGCACCCCTCATCCTAGGAGGAGCTTTGCCTCCCCCCCACCCCACAGGACGGAAGTCATGACCCCAGGTAGAGGCAAAAGCGATCTGAAAGGTCAGGGCTGCCCCTGAGAAGGTGAAAGGAGGGTGAGGTCACACACATCTCTATCTGTTCATGTCGGTTTGTCTGTCCATCTGCTTCTCGTCTCTCTACTATCTCTCCCTGTCTCTGGATCCCTATCTCATCCCAGATGTCTGTCTCTTTGTTCTCACCTTCCTGCTCTCAACCTTGGCCTTCCACACCACCCCCTGCCCCAGTCCCCCTTCTCCCGATCCCAGCCCCCTTCCCCAATTCTGAGTCCCTTCCCCGCGGCCGCCGCCCCCAGCTACAGAGGGCCGGCAGGGGGCGCAGCGGGGCGGCCTCAGCGGCCTGGGGAGGCGGGGCGGGCGGCGGCCGCGTCGGGACCGGCCGCGATGGGACCGGAGGCGGCGCGGGCGGTGGCGGCGGCGCAGACAAAGGCGCGGGAGGCGCGGAGGGCTCGGGCCGGGGATCCAGGGAGCGAGCGGGGCGCCCGGCTGCGCGGAGTCAGCGCCGCGGGTCTGCACCCGACTCGTGCCCGGACACTCACCGGGCGCCGACCTGGCAGGGTGAGCCCGGCCGGCCGAGCCTAAGCTGGGAGCTGCGGGGCTTCCAAGTCCCAGGGCCAAGGGAGGGCGCGGAGTCCGGACGTAAGGCCTGGGGGCGGCGCGAGTGTCCCCCAAATTCTAGGGCTGAGGGTAGCTCGGGGGGCTCGAAGTACTGGAGTCGGGGTCGGGGCGGGGACTGCGCGGGAGGTTCCCAAAGTTCTGGACCCGGCGTTGGAGTAGGCTGCGAAGTGGTTACCGAGCTTGCGGACCTCCGGTAGTGAGTGGCGTCACCACCCCCAGGTGGTGGAAGGGTCGCGAAGTTCCGGACGAGGGACTGGAGGGGTGGCAGTGGGGTTCTTGAAGTTTAGTAATTGGGTACAGCGGAGCTCCCCAGAGTTCCAGACCTAGGGTGAGAGGCCGCAGCGCAGAAGGGGAAATCCATGAAGTTACAGACCTGGGGTTGGAGGAGACAGAGGAGGTGTCTCCGAAGTCTGGGGCGTCGCGGGGATCTCAGAAGTTCCAGGGTTGGGCGCGCGTCCGAAGTTGGGGTGCGCACTGGTGTCTTCTTGATGTGGGTGAGGACTGCATCCTGATTGAGTATCAGACCCTCTTGAACTGGGGGGCTAATGGGATGGGATCTCACCCACCCGCCTGATTGGGGATCCGTGGTACCGGGTGGTGTCGGATCCCCCCCCTCCGGGAACCCCGCGTCCTGCGGCGTCCGAGGCGCATGACTAGTTGGTGAGTAACTTTCTCCAAACATCGCAAGTCAAGTCGGGGCAGGAGCGGCTGGACCGGAAGGGCCTGGGTTCCGGGGATCCCCGCGGGTCCAGGACCCACCCTCAACCCAGGCCAGAGCTGCCACCCCTCCTCCACGCGAGGTCTCCAGTTTCAGACCCTGTGACCAGACAGACAGCAGCTGCCCAGGACTGGATGGGGGGGGCACCCCCTCTGACCACAGAGGCTGTTGAACTGGGGCCCCTCCCCTTCTCCAATCCCTTACTCAGTCTCAGCAGGTCTCCTGGTTGCAGATTTGGGGGAGCAAGGGGGAGGACCAGGAAATTACCTCCCAGCATCTTTCCTGGCTAACTGGGTTGGTGGCTAGAAGAGCCAACTGGGAGGTTGGGGAGCTTCACTCCCAATCCTGGATCCTGCTCCGCCCCTCCATGGTGGGCACCAGGATTTTGCTATTTGGCTATGTCTTGTCTTTTCAACTGTGCTGGGGGCTCCCTGATGATTTGGACTGTGACTCTGAGTTGTGCCTCTGTCCTAGGGTGGGAGCTGAGGGGTCCCTCTCGGGGTCTAGTGGGGAACTGGTCTCTCAGTAAGCACCTATCAATACTCCATTTTTTGATGTAAGGCCCTACTTACTCTCAGAAGTAATAGGTGGATGTGGCAGAAAGTACTAAGCAGAGTTGGCCTTGGTTTTCACTGCCTGGTCCCAGGATGGAAGGGGCTTCATTTGCCCTCCAATAACCATGACAATGAGAATTTTCATTGGGATGGAGGGAAGGGGGGGGGGCTTGGGTTCTCTCAGAAAGCCATGTCCTGGCCAGGGTGTTGTGGGGGCTTCCCCTGGATGAAGACAATGGGGTCTTCTTGCTTGGAGTGATGTGTATTGATTTTCTTGCCTTTTGATAGAAGTTCTATGAATGGTGGATCTGGTGATGGGTCCTGAGGTAGGACCTACTTGGCCTTCCTCAGCCTGGCCTTATATTCCCCTCTCTCTCCAGAGGCCAAACCAGCAGCTTCTGCCACCCCTCTGGCTGCCCCTTAGAGCCCACCCAGCCCAGCTTGACCAATGTCCACAGCCAGGTGAGCTCCCACCTCCCCCATCCTGCCTCTGAGCTTCCTAGAGGAGTATCTGGCCCCCACTGAGCGCCTTCTCGCCATTAGGGAGCAGCCCATCTTCAGCACACGAGCACACGTGTTCCAAATCGACCCAACCACCAAGCGGAACTGGATCCCAGCGGGCAAGCATGCGCTCACTGTCTCGTATTTCTACGATGCCACCCGCAATGTCTACCGCATCATCAGCATTGGGGGTGCCAAGGTCCAGATGGGGTCTGGGTGGGGCATAGGCACCAGGGGTCCTGGTGACAGGCCTTGCTGTGTGCCACAGGGGATGGGAATCCCTGAGCCTTCCTGCGCCTCAGTTTCTGCCACCTAAAATGGCTTGGGGCTCAGAGACACAAAGGCAAGATGATACCTGGGGGTTTCATGTTTGTTATTATCAGTCCAATCAACCTTGAACTTTGTTTTGCAACCCCTGCCCAGGCCATCATCAATAGCACTGTCACCCCCAACATGACCTTTACCAAAACCTCCCAGAAGTTCGGGCAGTGGGCTGACAGTCGTGCCAACACCGTCTACGGCCTTGGCTTTGCCTCTGAGCAGCATTTGACACAGGTGGGCCTGGTGGAGGAGTGGAGGGGAAGACCAGGGCTGGGCCTAGTTCTTCTCTTCCGTGTATTTGTTGACCCTGGGCAGGCCTCAGGCATCAGTCTCCCTGAAAAAATAGGCAGGCAGTGTAGGGTGAGCCAGAATGCTCATGCCATGCCTATAATCTCAGTCCTTTGGAAGCTAAAGTGGGAGAATCGTTTGAACTCAGAAGTTCAAGACCAGACTGGGCAGCATATCAAGACCCCATCAGTAAAAAAGAAAAAAGAGGCTGAGTGCAGTGGCTCACACCTGTAATCCTAGCACTCTAGGAGACTGAGGTGGGTGGATTGCTTGAGTTTATGAGTTTGAGACCAGCCTGAGCAAAAGAAAGACCCCTTCTCTACTAAAAAATAGAAAAACGGAAGCAAGAGGATTGCTTGAGTCCAAGTTGGAGGTTGCTGTGAGCTATGACATCATGGCACTCTACCCAGCGCAACAGCTTGAGACTCTGTCTCAAAAATAAATAAATAAATAAATAAATAAAAATTAGATGAGCTGGAAACCTCTTCAGGGTGCCCTGGTTTGAGACCTAGTTCTGTTGGCCACGTGCTTCAATTTTGGATATACCTTACTCCTCTTTGGGGCATCAAATGGATGCTGGGTTGGGTTGGTCACCTCCCTACATGCACTAGCAATATTATATCACCCACCAACCTCTGCTCTCTCTACACTTCAGTATTATCTTTATCTGTTGTTTGTTTTATTGGTGCTTTCTGTGCCTTGCTGAGGTCATGAAGATATTCTCCTTTTTTTTTTTTTTTTTTTGTTGTTCTAGAGGCTTTCTAATTTATCTTTCTAATTTAGGTCTCAAATTAATTTCTTTCCTTTTTCTTTTTTTTTTTTTTGAGACAGAGTCTCACTATATCACCCTCATTAGAGTGCTATGGTGTCACAGCTCACAGCAACTTCAAACTCTTAGGCTTAAGCAATTCTCTTGCCTCAGCCTCCCAAGTAGCTGAGACTATAGGCACCTGCCACAATGCCTAGCTATTTTTTTGTTGCAGTTGTCATTGTTGATTTTAGCTGGCCTGGGCTGGGTTTGAACACTCCAGCCTCAGTATATGTGGCTGGTGCCCTAACCACTGAGTTACAGGTACCGCGACTCAAATTAATTTCTGTAGGTGGCACAAGGTAGGGGTCTAGGTTCATTTTTGTTTGTTTGTTTAGCAGGCCCAGACCAGGTTCAAACCCACGAGCCCAAGAGCATGTGGCTGGCGCCCTAACTACTGTGCTACAGGTGCTCCCAGGTTCATTTTTTTTTCTTACATAAGGATTGAGTTGCTT